TTAGGGTCTGGGGTTTGAGGAGGTTTAGGGTTTGGGGTTTGGGTTTGGGATTTGAGGTTTAGGGTTTGGGGGTTAGGCTTTAGGGTTTAGGGTTCAGGGTTCAGGGTTTAGGGCTTCGGCGGCAGCAGGGTTGGGATCGGGTGTGGGTTGCGCTTTTTTCTACCTAGTATTATAGAGATTTATAGAGTTTTGAAGGGAGGGGGGGTTTAGGGTTTAGGGTTCCTAAGGGAGGGGGGGTCAAAGGGCGGTAGGTACCTAGGAAGCCTTAGGGAAGCTTAGGGAGCCTTGGGGAGTAGCGGGGAGTACTAGGGAACCTTGGGTTACATACCCCCCCTTCAACCGCCTCCCTTAAGAACTCTACAATAGTAGCTGAATGAGTACGCTTTACACTTCTTGGGATAGATACTATAAGCCGCTGTAGAAATGACTATCATCCCCTATAGAACTGAAAGTGTACACTTTGTTGGGGGCAGCTCAGCAACTACCTGCTAGTACTCAAAGCATGCCACGTGAGGTTAGAGTCTTTACATCACGGCTCATGGGTAGATAAGGATGCAAGAGCATCTGCATTCTGTCTTTCGAAAATTTCCCTAAAGGTCCATATGGGCGGCTCTCAAATTATGATCCCTTTTGGGGTACCCTAAAAATTAGGTGCCGTATTGTCATAGGGATCCAAAAAGGGACCATAATTCTGACTACCTAAAAGTCGTGCATGCTTTCAACTTGAGGGTATTTCCTACATAGCGAATCTGGGGCCCAAGTCTGGACTACATGGGCCCGGCGTGTTCTCGGAGTCTAAACCCTATGCCCTAAACCCTAGCCCTAAACCCTAAACTCTAGCCCTAAACCCTAAACCCTAGCCCTAAACCCTAAACCCTAGCTCTAAACCCTAAACAAGGACATCAAAGCGCGCGTGGAGGAAGGAGAGGGTGCCCTTGGCCACAATCGGATGTACGTTTACGAGAGGGTTTTGGGGTTTAGGGTTTGGGGTTTGGGGTTTTTGGGGTTTAGGGATTTAGGGGGTTTAGAGGGCAGGGCTTTAGGGTTTGGGGTTTAGGGCGGTTTGGGATTCAGGGTTTTAGGGTTTAGCGGTTTGAGGGTTTCGGGTTTGGGGCCAGTTTTGGGCTTATAAGGTTTAGGATTCACGGTTTTAGGGGTTTATGGTTTAAGGCTTAGGGTTTGGTATTCAGGGTTTTTGGGTAGAGGGGTTGCGGGTTGGGGCTTAGGTTTGGCATTCAGTGTCTTAGTCTTGGGGTTTAGGGGTTTCGGCAACAGGGTTTGGCGTTCAGGGTTTTAGAGATTAGGGGGTTGAGGGTTTAAGGTTTAGGGTTTCGGGTTTGGGATTCAGGGCTTTAGGGTGTAGGGGTTTAGGGTTCAGGGTCTAGGGCTTAGGGGTTGGGAATGAGTGGTTTAGGGGTTTAGCGTTCGGGGGTTTCCTTCCTGTGGGTGGATCCCACTTTCAGAGCACAGACCCTTTTCGGGAGGACAAGATCTCCTTGGCTCATGTGGACTTGCTTTCAAGTATTTGGCCATGTCTGCGGCTGCTCCCTTTACTGCGGTCTTCCTCACAAGAAACCTGGAAGTAGAAGCTGTGCTGCCTCGACATCCTGGCTATGTTGCTGAAAGTGCACGATAATCAGATTGTGCCCCAGTTCGAAGAGGTACCTTCCCGTTTTGTCCAGAAGGCGGTCAAGATTTTGTCCTAGCAAGCCAGTAGCTTGCAATATCCCGGCTGCTCGTCTCATGTTTCAGAAGTCCTCACTCAGACCGCAAACTATTCACATTCGTACTGATGCTTTGAGTTTGGATACGTCTCCCCAAGCACGAGTCTTGCAAAGAAGTGTCCATCTGTCAGCGTGTGGCGCCGACCTCAGTCCATGCTTCCAAAAAGGGTTAAACCCTAAACCCTAAACCCTAAACCCTAAAAGGGGTTTACGGCTGCATCAACGCCGCAGCTTCTTCAGCTGCCCAGGTGTCCCTTTCTTCGACGAGCGCTTTGATTGCCGTGAGGCGGTGGCTGATGGTGCAGCCTCCTGCTGGGGTTTAGGGTTTAGGGTTGAGGGTTTAGGGTTTAGGGTTTAGGGTTTTAGTGCCTCAAAATGCACGAAACCCTCAACTTCACCCAGATGCAAAAAGGTACTCCGGTCTTGGGATGCACTGAGGTGCAGGGGCCCTCTGCAAAGACCCTCTAAACCACGAGCACCCGCCTAAACAGGGGTCGGAATAATTAGGGTTTAGGGTTTAGGGTTTAGGGTTTAGGGTTTAGGGTTTCCTGGTCCCTATATAAAATCTACTACAAGAACCTACAAAACTCTATTCTAATTATTACGGCACCTATGTTGTTCAGCAGAACAACCCTCAGGCTCGGGCCTCGCACACCCAGCTGCCCGCATAGTCTTGGGTTAAGTTTGGGGTGTAGGGTTTAGGGTTTAGGGTTTAGGGTTTAGGGTTTAGGGTTTCGGGTTTAGGGTTTAGGGTTTAGGGTTTAGGGTTTAGGGCGAGAACCCTAGCCTACATACACCCGTATCAGGATGGCGGCACATGGAGTGCGTACCGTGAGCTGGTGCTTTGGAAGCAAGGGCCTATCGGATGTTGGTCTGGGCGCTTCAGGGTCATAGGGATGTTTTGTGGGCTTATGGGGCTTCAGGCTTTCATTCCTACTCACCAAAACAAGTGATCCTTATAATGGCAATCTAGGGATTTTTTCTTTATTGGGGGATTCTTGAGCAAATAGATGTAACTTCGGGTATTACGTAGGATTAGGGCTTATAGATGTTTATAGGAAGATCGCTTTGAAATGTGTGAATGAAAAGAGCCCTGGCAGAACATGTAATTGGCAGCCACCGCTCGAACCATTCCAAAGCCACCCAGACAGAACTTGCTTTGTCTTCCTAGCAGTTCATTAGTCATTTGCCCCTTAAGTGGGTACCCTAAACAGAAAAGGCTTCGCATGAACAAGTCCCAAACCCTGAGGGCCCATGTCCTGTGTAGCATACACTCGGGGGCCCTGAAGCATGTAGCACATAGGGGTACCCTTTTTGGGGTCCCTTAAGGGGATTTTTGGGTACAACAGGGGTCCCCCTATTTTGGGAAGTACCCACATAGGATCCTTCTTTTAAGACCCAAGTACATGACCCAAAAAGGGTTGACATGAACTCTTCAGGGAATTGAGGCTGCCCCCCCTCCCAAAGGTGGAATACGCGCGCCTGCGCGTCTTCGAGGAGGAGGGCGGCCGAGAGCTGGCGAGGGAGCTGCAGAGCCTCCTTGCAGATCGCACCTCCAACGTGCACCTGAGGCTGCAGTTAGGGTTTTAGGGGTTTAGGGTTTAGGGTTTAGGGTTTAGGGTTTAGGGTTTAGGGGAACCCTAAGGGTCCATCTGTAACTATCTAGTACCCTTAAAGGGGCCCTCAAGCCTCTCTAGTAGGGAACGAATTTTAAGTGTACCTACGTAGTATACACTTTTTGGGCCCTCAAGGCCCACTCTAGTAGGGAACCCCTTTAAGGGCCCAGTAGTATACTACATGGACCCTGAGGGAGATAGGCCTTCTTACGCCGAGAGAGCCCCCACTTTTCCCGCAAGACTTTCAGGAGTACATGACATGAGGGGTCCCCTTTCATCGTTGAAGGTCTGTAGGGTTTAGGGTTTAGGGTTTAGGGTTTAGGGTTTAGGGTTTAGGGTTTAGGGTATCGGGCTCCTGAGAGATTGCAGAGGATCCACGGACTCTCGAGGGTTTTTGGCTTCGGGCTATACTCGGAGGTTCTTGGGTGAATATTTGTGTCTTGGGTGATTGTTTATAAGTGGGGTAAATATGGAAATCATACCCTTGTTAAGACTGCACTTAGAACTACCCATGAACCTCAAAGCAGTATAGGTGTCGGAATCTCCTAAGATGATTCTTTTCAGTGCGACAACGACACAACCTGAAGATGTAGGCTCAAGAGAAACCCCACTGTCATCGAGCCTCCTGCTGTATCAGCTCCTTGTTATTCTGGCGTGCCAGCTCATGGCTGGCCCGCCTCGGGGAGTCATCCTTAGCATGCTTCTGATACTCCCGTCGATGCTGGCATCCTTCCCTGCGGACCCCCTTGATCCTCGGGACCCCGCCGTCTTCATGGTGCAGATGCAAGCAGCCAGGGCACCTCGCAACTCGACTGGAACACCGAGAAGCCGCCTGAAGCCGTGGGAAGTGTATCGCTTCTATACCTGCGCACATCACAAGGCAGGCGTGGATCTCAATCTTTTCCTTGAGCTGAATGTGTTCAGTGCCTTGGGCCTGGACATGTCAAAGGACTTTGGCGTATGGGCCCACTTCTGCCCGCCGGGCCCTCCAGACTTTTGCTACAACCCTGAAGCGAAAGTGCGTATTGCGATGGACATCTGCTCCTGGGAAACCGTCCAGCTAGAACGTGAAGCAGCCAGTCCCCAGCGCGTGCTGGTGGCAGGGACGGTGCGGGATCCCTTGGACATGGTGGCTTCGGCTTATTGCTATCACCATGCCTGGAATGAGTGGAACAACCCGACCTTTGAAAAGCCGCCGTTGAAGGTCGAGTTTATGGACGTCCACGAGGGTGTCGATTTCATGGCAAAGACCCTTGGGGACCAAATGGACCTCAAGATGGGGGTCAGCTACCCTATACTACTACAACTCCTATGAAGGTAACATGAACCCTAAACCCTTTTAGGCTTCAATCCCCAAGGAACATGCTCGAAGCTGTGGCCAACATGACGAGCATCCATTCCCAGCCCCACAGCGATACATATCGCATAGCCTACGAGGCCATCACCCGCTCCTCGCAGGACTTCGACGAGGAGGTGCGCCTTCTTTTTGGGGAGGGGGAGGGGGGGGACGACTTATGATAGTGCGGGGCTTCATTTTGAGAGATGTTTGCGGTAATCTCCCGTTTTTTTTGCTTGAGGGAGGGTGGGGGGGGGAGGGTTCCCGTATTACGTGGCCTGCTGATTAGAGTATAATTGCAGTTCTAGTTGTAGACTCCCCCTAGAATATTCATAACTGTCAGGATCAAACTCCCCAGGTGACGAAGCTTATCGACTTCTGGTCTCAAGGACTCTTGACACAGAGAGAGAGTCTGGGCCGGCTCTTTGAAGAATATTTTCTATGTTTTGCATTCGGGTCCTTCTCGGGTGGGTGGAAGAGGATCATGTTTCAGGAGCTTTTCTCTTTTCAGAGTTTCTTTTTCCCGGCGCCAGCCTAGGCGCGACCTGGCCCTGGAGGCAGCAAGAACCACAGACCTCCACCGTCACCCGGACCACCAGCCGGCGAACCACACCAACGACGAGGAGTGCATGGCCCAGGCGAGGGCAGCCACGCACACGTTGCAGCCAGAGATCTTGGCGCAGTACCATGAATTTCAGAGACGGCTGGGATACGAGGTCAAACCCTAAACCCTCCAAATCCTGGAAAAATCAGCCTTGTGAAGCCCTCACCCCTAAATCCTAAACCCCAAACCCTAAACCCTAAACCCCAAACCCTAAACCCTATATCTTAAGTTCCCCGGGGCTCCTCTCAGGCTCCCTGGGCGCTGCTCAGTTCTTGTGTTCAAAACGCGCAGCCGTTTGGCGTTCTGCACCTTGCAGCTTACCTTGGGGACGAAACGAACCCTGAAAGGGTTAGGGTTTAGGGTTTAGGGTTTAGGGTTTAGGGTTTAGGATTTAGGGTTTAGGATTTAGGGTTTAGGGTTTAGGGTTTAGGGTTCATCTTTGTATACAGGGTTTGGGATTTAGGGTTTGGGGTTTAGAGCCCCCCCCCCCCCCCACAGCCTTGAGGCCCCCCTAAATTTTGGGGTCATATACCCCAAGACTATTACTAAGGTATCTGGACCTTAAACCCTTTTAGGGTTCATGTTCATGTCGTCCCTAAGGTTAGGGATGAAATTGGGGGTTCTGAAATAGGGGTACCTTTTTGGGGTTCCTTTTATAAAGGAATCCTACTGTTTGGTGTCTACATATCAGGGGTCCATTCTCTCCGTAACCCCCCAAACGGACCCTAAAAGGGTTTAAGGTCCATATACCTAAGTAGGGTCATCGTCTTGGTAGTAGTAGTAGTAGTAGTAGTAGTAGTAGTAGTAGTAGTAGTAGTAGTAGTAGTAGTAGTAGTAGTAGTAGTAGTAGTAGTAGTAGTATAGGGTTTATATGACCCATATTTTAGGGTTCATGTCGTCCACAAGGTACGCTGCGCGCCAGCGTCATAAAGTGCACGTGAACATGGGTAACCCATGTTCTATCCACTTCAGGGTCCCCGTATGTCTGAGATTCCAGCCCTAAACCCTAAACCCTAGCCCTAAACCCTAAACCCTAAACCCTAAACCCTAGCCCTAAACCCTAAACCCTAAGCCCTGAACCCCAAGCCTCCGAGCTTTCCATCTGCACGGTTTCACCTCTCTAAAGAGGCCTCCCCTCCTGTGAGACTGAGAGGCGAACATCAGAAATTCCAGGGGTCTGCTTAGGGTTTAGGGTTTAGGGTGTAGGGTTCAGGGTTTAGGGTTTAGGGTTTAGCGTTTAGGGTTTAGGGTTTAGGGTTTAGGGTTTAGAGCTGCTTCACTCTAAGGTTGGAATTGGAACCATGGGTCATGGGCCCTTAGTATGGTCCCTTACCCTTGTTTATAGGGATCCGAAGTATGAGCCCTTACTATGTATAGCGTATGTAAGGAGTATGTAACAAGGAATGCTTATACTTCTGAACCCTAGGTCTACGAGTCTATTGCTGCAGGAGTGCGGCGTGCACGACCTCATTCAAGTCCTCTAGCGTTCCCCGAAGCCTCAGTTCAGGGGGCTTGGGAGTTAGGGTTTAGGGTTTAGGGGGTCTAGGGGGTGGAGGAATGCCGGAAAGCTCAATCGCACCTCTCGACCGTCATACGTGTGGGGTAAAAGTATGGAAAAGTGGCTATAAGCTTGTTCAGGGTACGTCGAACCCTACTTATACCTACCGAACCTCCAAATCGGCTAGGGTACTAGGGTGTTGGGTATGGGGTTTTAGGGTTAAGGGGTTGAGGGTTTAGGGTTTAGGGTTTAGGGGTGTAGGTTTTTGGGCGTAGGGTTGAGGGCTTATAGGGTTTCGGGGTTCAGGGCTCAGGGTTTTTTTTGCGCTTAAGGTGGGCTTGGTTTAGGGTTTAGGGTTTAGGGTTTAGGGTTTAGGGTTTAGGGTTTAGGGTTTAGGGTTTAGGGTTTAGGGTTTAGGGTTAGGGGTTGAGGGCTTATGGTCTTTGCAGTGTGGTACAGCATTGTTGGGCTCCCGGGCTTGGAATACTGCCCCTTATATTAACAGTCCTTTTTGAAAGGATCTAGTACCCCCCTACTATCATCCCTATTAAGCTTTGTGGTGCTTTACTGTAACTTTACATCTTTAGCCTTTTTGGGTTTATTGGGTTTCTTAATACGGCAGCTAACAGTTTGATTTTTTGCTACCCTCCTAAGTGCAGCCAAGTAAGGACTGTTAGGATAAGGGGGAACATCCCAATTTCGAGCCATCATTGCGGGCCAGCTGGCCGAAGCCCTTTCCTTGAACCTGTAGCTCCCTCCGCATTTCAGGGTTACGAACTTCAGGGGACCCCCCTAAACCCTAAACCCTAAACCCTAAACCCGAAACCCTAAACCCTAAACCCTGTAAGACAGATCCTCCCAAATACTGGGATCTTCCTTATAGTAAGGAGCCCAATAAGGTACTTTTCGGGGCAAGCCCAAGGTTTCCCCACCACTCCCGAAGGCTTCCCTAAGGTTAGGTACCTGCCCCCCATGAACCCTAAACCCTAAACCCTAAACCCTAAACCCCAAACCCTAAACCCTAAACCCTAAACCCTAAACCCTAAACCCTAAACCCCAAACCCTAAACCCTAAACCCTAAACCCTAAACCCTAAACCCTAAACCCTAAACCCTAAACCCTAAACCCTAAACCCTAACATGAACCCCCCTCCCTTAAGAACCCAAAAAAACTGTACTTACCTTCGCATTGGGTGTTTTGTTTCTGTGGGTGAACCCAAGGGGACATGGAGTAAACAGGCTCTCAGGGAATCATAGAGACCTCAACACGAAGCAAACAGCCAGGGGTTTAGGGTTTAGGGTTTAGGGTTTAGGGTTTAGGGCTTAGGGCTCCCAGGTCGCTGGTGCTTCAGTGCAACGTGGGTGTGATTGCCGGCTACCATCTCTTGGCCGGGCCCTCGTAGCTAAAGGAAGGGCGTATAGGGGTTAGAGTAGGGTTTAAGGTTTAGGGTTTAGGGTTTAGGGTGTAGGGTGTAGGGTTTAGGGTTTAGGGTTTGAAGGGGCTTGTAGGGCTTACAGGGCTTAGGGTCTATAGGGTATATGTTTTTCAGAGAGTTTATAGGGTTGTTGCAGCAAGGATTTTCGGAGTTTCTAGTTTTTTTGTGGGTTTAAGGCTTAGAGAAGTCGATGGGCGAAAGCTCTACGCGCCATCCAGACCCCCATCGCCCACCCCGAAATGCAGTAAATCACCCTAAACCCTAACCCTCAACCCTAAACCCACACCTCCTTAAACACCCAAACAATGGAGAGCCTTCAAAGTCTCGTGCAGCGCAACTGTCCTAGGCGCGGCGCTACGTCGCAGAAGGAGACGACTGGAAGGCCAAAAGTGGGGGGTTTATAGGGCTCAGGGTTTATGGGGTTTTCTTCCGGCTTCAGCTACATTCTTGCGGGTTGCTTCTTGAGGTTTGGGAGATCTCCAGCTTGCGACCGAAATCTTGTAACTAGGATGCCCAGTAGTACCCTTATTCCCTTTTTGGGGGGTTTAGGTTCCTTTAAAAACCCCTTTAAGCAAAAAAGGGCACCCTTTTTAAGCCTAGGTTACTGGGCAGCCTAGGTAAGGTTCGGGGGGAAGCCTTCGCGTTCGTGGTGGCAAGCCTTGCGTGAGAGACGCGCAGGCCTATCGGCTACTCCAGCTGGCCCTCATCTACGTCTTCACGCTCCGGAATGCACTGAAGGCTAGCATACGGTTTAGGGTTTAGAGTTTAGGGTTTAGGGTTTGGAGTGGGTTTAGGGTTTAGGGTTTATATAGGGTTTAGGGCCTTGGAAAAAAGATCTAGGGGTGCTTTGGGTGTCCAAGGGCCAACAGCCAGTTTATTTAGTCCCCCTGTGGGGGTCGGAGTATTGACAGCGGTTTGAAGGGTGGTGCCGCGTGAAGTCAGCTCACTGTGGCCCTGAAGGCCCTACAAGCCCTCAACCCCCCAAACCCTACAAGCCCCAAGAAACCCTCACCCCTACAAGCCCCACAAAACCCTAAACCCCACAAGCCCGACAAAACCTAAACCTTGAGATTCAACTTGGGATGTTCCCCCATATACTAGCAGTCCTTCATAGGGACTATAGTACCCCCTCTTATAATCCCTATGAAGGGCTGTTCGTATAAGTGGGAACATCCCAACCCTAAACCCTAAACCCTAAACCCTAAACCCTAAACCCTAAACCCCTGGCAGGTGCCAGAGGAGGCAGCCCGTGACTGGGCCACGCGCACGGACCGCATTGTGGGCGAGATCCGAATTCTCAAGGTCCTGCGCCGAGGGTTTAGGGTTTAGGGTTTAGGGTTTAGGGTTTAGGGTTAGGGGCATATCGACCTTCCGAACCACCCCACGAATCATCGCACCCCGAACCGCCCTGCGAGGACCGGCTGTCCTCGGAGCAGCACAGGCCCGCACAGCGGGAACCCTAAACCCTAAACCCTAAACCCTAAACCCTAAACCCTAAACCCTAAACCCTAAACCCTAAACCCTAAACCCTTCAAACAAGTTGGTCCTCGAAAGTCAAACTCCCGATGTTTTTTCGAGTTTTTGGTCGTAGCCGGGAGTGCTGGGTCCAAGGGTTTTTGCTGAACTCTTCCATCCAGGACATCGTAGCCTGGATGCTACTTGTAGAGGGTGGTATCAGAGATGGCTGAATTGGAAGCAAGAGCTCGAAACCACTATTCTCCGAACTGTCATCGCAACTCAGGGCAACCAAAAAACCCATAGATCCTTTATCCTATAAGCCCCCCACACACCTAGCCTCACCTATGTACCCTGAAGAGAGACTCTAGGGCCAATACCTAAGGTACACTTGCCCTCTTTAGATTGTGCATGCACGCAGTTTCTTAACTTAGGGTCCCTTTACCCATTATAACGCGGCACCCTTTTAAAAGGGACCCTAAGCCCTAAACCCTCAACCCTAAACCCTAAACCCCTAGAGAACCACCCATATAGGCTGCATTCATCAAGGCAGCCCTCAGGCGTTTTTTTGGACTCCTGAGAAAGTCGTCTCCACATGCTGTCGTCCAGAAGGCCTGTGAGCTGCCCTGAGGAAACCCTAAAAGGGTTTAAGGTCCGCATACAGGGTTTAGGGTTTAGGGTTCAGGGTTTAGGGTTTAGGGTTGAGGGTTTAGGATGTACCTTAATCGGTGTTATAGTGTATCGTAGTGTATAACCCAATTTTAGGGCCTCAAGGCTGTGTGGGCGAAGGGGGGAGGCCGTGCACCCAAGCGCAGGCGCTACACCAAACTGCCAGAGGCGAATGCCACCCTGCGCATCAGCGGCTTGCGCGCCCCGGAGCTTTCTTCAACCCTAAACCCTAAACCTCATGAACCCTAAACCCTGAACCCGGATGCCCCAAAGCAGTCGGACCTCGAATCCCCACCTGGCATGGCCACACTGTAACCCCAAACCCCCCAAAACCCAAGCCCTAAACCCGAAACCCTGTCGATGCCAAGTTGCTGCACTGTGTCTAGGTAGGCCCTTGGGACTTTATATTTTCCCTTATTTTGGGTTTAAGAGGATCATATTCAGGAATTATTTTTCAGAGGGCTTTAGGGGCCAGCCTACCTTTGGGGTAGAGCTACTTCAGGGCAGGTTTTTGGGCTTACTTGTGATGAGGCTCGGGGTTTGGGGTTTGGGAGTCGGGCTTGGTTAAAAACCCTACCTGGGACTCTATTTACCTACAGTTTAGTAGTAACTACCCCTTAATGAAGAGGTGTAATAAATAAAAACTGTAGGTAAAGAGGGTCCCAGGTAAACCTGAATCCTGAACCCTAAACCGTTCTTGTTGCTGGCTTTAGGCTCAAGGGCTTTTCAGGGTGGAGGCTTCCAATTGCGAGTCAAAGCCGCCCAGGCATAGCCATTGTCTCGATCTGCGCGTACCCTCCGGGTCATCCACTGATCTTACGGAACATCACCCCAGAGAACCGCAAAGCCTATGGCAACCACCATGGCTACGAAGTGCCCTTGCTGCAAGAAAGGCTGGCGAGTCCTCAACGAAGAGTAGGGAAGCTGGCTTTCTGAAGGGACTATAGACCTTCGCCTTCCTTCACCTTCCTTGTTCCCACAAAGTGCCGTGAGGTCTTCGTGCATTACGAGCACCCCATGCCCGACAAGGGCGTGCACATTCAGCATTCAAAGCTTCAGCTGGTGGCAGACTACCTGCGCACTGGCCTCTACGCGCCATGGCGGTTCTGTGGAAGAACTTACCCCTTGAAAAAACCGTTGCATGAACCCTGCTTCCTGCAGCCCTTAACAGCAAATATGAGTAAACTAATACATAATAATAGCGCATATTTCTAGCATCCCCGAACTATTGCAACGCCTGTTTGCAGTTTTGTTCGCTGTACCGTAAAAGTCAGCTTCGAGAGGCCTTGCGAGTGAGCTGTCTTTGTGGAGCCAGCTTCTCCCACCCAGAACCCTTGGGAGGATCCAAAACGTAGGTCCCATTAAAGGGTTAGCAAGAATGGCCCAATAGTATATAGTATAGGGTGCTAGTTGGGTTCTCTACTTTTTGGATCTTCCCAGGGTCCCTAAACCCTAAGCCCGAGACCCTAAACCCGAAAACCTTAAAACCCTAAACCCTAAACCCTAAACCCTAAACCCTAAACCCTAAACCCTAAACCCTAAACCCTAAACCCTAAACCCTAAACCCTAAACCCTAAACCTTGTCCGAGGATTGGGTCGCATGGTTCGACTGCGACTCCATTATCATGAACTTGAACCGCACCTCCTCGGCTCAGAAACTACTATTTCTAGGATGCCCAGTAGTGCCCTTATTCCCTTTCTGGGGGGTTTAGGTTCCCGTATAAACCCCTTTAAGCAAAAAGGGGCACCCTTTTTAAGCCTAGGTTACTGGTCAGCCTAGATTTGCTTAAGAACCCCTCCAAAAGAAAACAAAAAAAAACATACATCCCCTTTATTACCCTTCTGAGGAAGAATATAGTTTCATTTTCTTTTTTGGGTGGGGAAGGGTTCTTAGGGGTTCTTAAGCAAATCGTAGATAAAGGCTCTCAGTCTCTTGTATCTTTTGTCCACTTCTGTTCACTCAATTGCCTTGACCTTTGTCGGATTCTGCCCATAATCTTCGGCCTCCCCCAGAATGAACAACTGGGGGTTTCCGAAAATAGGGGTGCCTTTTTTGGGGTTCCTTCCCCTTCAAGGGGATTCTATTTTCTATTTTGGGGTCTAAAAGGGGTACCCCTATTTGGGGGTTTACGAACATAAGGGACCCAAATATAGAGTAGGATCCCCTTGTAATGAGGACCCAATAAGGTACCCCGAATTTCGGAAGTCCCATTTTGGGAGATGCACAACTCACCCTAAACCCTAAACCCTAAACCCTAAACCCTAAACCCTAAACCCACCAGGCACCCTGGACTCTGTGATCCACCGCTATGCGCGGCGAGCCCTGCGGCTGGCACAGAAGCCCACGCGCTCGAAGACCGCCAAGAGGCCCATGAGCTCGTTCAGGGTTTAGGGTTTAGGGTTTAGGGTTCCAGCTTGCGAGCTTCAACATCCTTAGAGACGACGTGACCCCTAACAGGGTTTAAGGTCCATATACCTTAATGGGGGTTACAGTAGTCTTGGGTACATGACCTAAATGTTTGGGTTCATTTCGTCCTCGAGGAACTAACGGCTAACGCCTTATCCCGTCATCCCATGCTCGCGAACCAGGGTTAAGCTTACCGGGCTCGTTATTTGTTGTTGGGGGGGTTAGGGTTTAGGGTTTAGGGTTTAGGGTTTAGGGTTTAGGGTTTAGGGTTTAGGGTTTAGGGTTTAGGGTTTAGGGTTTAGGGTTTAGGGTTTATAAGGGCTTACTGCGGCCAAGCAAGTTGCATGGAGTCCATCTCTTTGCGGCGAAAAGCACCAGGTTGACGATTGGGCTGGGGCCCGCCTTCCTACGCATACTTCTTCTTACATGCACCCCCATGGAACCGGTTTAGGGTGTAGGGTTCAGGGTTTAGCGTTTAGGGGTTAGGGTTTAGGGTTAGGGATGCACCCCCATGGAACCCTGCTAACCCCAACCCTACAAACCCTCCCCGAGCGGACTAAATGAACCCTAAAATTGGTGTCATATACCCTATACCACTACTATATACCCCTGCGAAGGTCTAGGGACCATAGGGTTCATTTTGTCCCCAAGGCCTACACCCGCCCCTCTAACTGTACTTATCAACCCCCTAAGTCCCCTAAGTAGGTGATAAGTAGACTTATTATAAGTGGGGTTATAAATGCCCATGAACCTCCAAGTAGGGATCCGCCCCTTCAACCCGGGAGTTGTGTTTTTCTTGGTCCCAGGCCCAGCGAGGGCCGGGAAGGGCCGGACGAGCAGCAGGTCACTGTGGATTCCTTCCCGGCATTGAGTCTTTAGGGTTTAGGGTTTAACTTAGGGTTTAGGGTTTAGGGTTTAGGGTTTCAATGCAGGTAGGTGGGTGTCCGGCAGGCAGCCATGTCCAGCTTCAAAAAGGGTTCAGGGTACAGGGTGTGTGGGGATGTCGGGTAGCACCAACTCCCGGCGAAGTGGCAAGCCTATTTAAAAAAAGGGTGTGGGGAGTCCAGCCTGTGCGAGCAGTAGTATGATGTCGCTTGCAGCGCACTTCATCAAACTTCCCATCCAGCATTCATTTCCAAATGTCAAGTCACTAGCTTGTTTCTGAGCTTTGGCTGACGAGTTTTCCGAAGGTTGTCCATAGCATAATCCTGGTTGAGTCGATGCCGTCCAGATACAAGAGGGTATTTCCCAAAAAAAGGGGTACCCCCTTTAATGCACCAAATAGAATGGAATCCCCTTAAAGGGGACCCCCCCCAAAAAAAAAAGGGTACACCCTATTTTAGGAAACTCCAAGAAGCTTTAAGTTTTGGGGTTTGGAGTTGCTGCCGTGCTTGCATGTGCTAAAGACCTTGGGAGACTTCCCCAGGAAGTGAAGTTGTTAAACGGCCTTTAGGGTTTAGGGTTTAGGGTTTAGGGTTTAGGGTTTAGGGTTTAGGGTTTAGGGTTTAGGGTTTAGGGTTTAGGGTTTAGGGTTTAGCTGCAGAGCCTACATACCCAGAGCGCCGAATAACACCCTTTAAGAACGGAAGATGCCTGCTTCATAAGACCTGAATTCTTAAGTCTTAATGTAACCCAGCCCTAAAAACCCAACAACCCTAGGCCCTGAGCCCTAAATCCCCTCAATGTATGTTCCTTAACTAAGGGGCAAGGGGCCCTAAGGACCAGAGCACCTATGACGGAACCTTCCATGCGGAAGAGGAGCTGCACATCCCTGCCGGGATTGCTGGCTTGGGGGTTCAGGGTTTAGGGTTTAGGGTTTAGGGTTTAGGGTTTAGGGTTCAGGGGTTGGGGTGTTCCGCCTGAGACTAACAGCCTTAACAGGGATTCTCGTACCCCCGAAGGACCGTTTGTTTAAGGGGGGAGCATCCCAAGTTCAGGGTTTAGGGGTTTAATGGTATCCCTAAACCCTAAAGCCCAAACCCTAAACCCTAAACCCAAAAAGAATTCTTAGGGTTTTGGAATCAAGCCATCTGCCACACGCAGGAGCCATTTGAAGATGAGGTCCTGGAGTCCTTCATCGGTCATGTACCTCGGAGCTTGATGAGTTCTACTATTACGCCACCCTAAACCCTAAACCCTAAACCCTAAACCCTAAACCCTAAACTCCGAGACCTAGAAACATTCCCAGAACCCGAGACCCCCCCCCGAACCCACCCAGGGCTTTATGAGACCGAGGTCGGCAGCTGCAACTCCGACCAGGGCTGCATTCTGTCCAAGCGCATCCGGGTGAACCCCCGCACGAAGCTTTGGCCTGTCAATCAAGGGTGTCTCTCTGTGTGTGTGTGTGTGTGTGTGCGTGTCTCTGTGTGTGTGTTCTGTGACCATAGTTTGAGAACTTACCAGATTCGTATATACACACACACATAGACTTTGTTGAACGGGAAGAATGAAGTCTCCCAAACAAGGGCTGTAACAGTGGGACTCGCTGGCAGGCGGTTTAGGTTTAGGAGAGCTTCGGGCGTTTGTGACTCCATATTACATATGGCCATGTATGTATGTATATATATATATACACAAATGTACATATACACATGTCTAATTTTTTATCCAACTAGATTATTTTATATTTTTATATGGTCGAATATGTATCTGCATATGTATATATAGTTATTGTTGAAGTAATGATATTTATTTATTTATTTATTTACTTTTTGAAGTATTCATGACGGTTTGGGGTCTGAAGGTCTTAGCGTTGCATTCGGTGCTGGAAGAGGGAAGTCGGCATGTGAGCGGCGAGCCGTTAGCCGAAGACAAGCTTTATACAAGTGTGGGGGCCGGCTCTCATTCAAAGCCTGCCTTGGTCGTTTGTGTGTTGGGGGTTTAGGGTTTAGGGTTTAGGGTTTAGGGTTTAGGGTTTAGGCCTCCCTCCCCCGCTCCCGAACACACATGCCAGGTTGCTAAGTCAGCCCGCTCCGCTCAAGCGCCTTCTGTGAGGAAGTACGTGGCAACGCTGCGGGTCGCGCAGATAGACATGGAACAGAGCCTTTCCTGTGACAGTAGGGATGTGCGTCTCGGGCCCTATTCCATTGTTAGTTAGGAACATGCATGACAGTATCATGCTGATTGGGTTGGTTAGCAAGTCAAGAGTGTATCCTTATTCTGCTAGCTGAGTTTCTGCTAGCTGATTTTAAGTTCCTCAGCAAGGATCTGGTTAGACGGAGGTGCGACCATCACCGTCATAACCAGGTTCCCTCACCGACATGTCTACCCAAACCCTCAACCCTAAACCCTTAACATCCTGTCCAACCCTCAACGCTATAAGCCCTCAATCCTAAACCCCGAAAAGGAGCAAGCGCTCTAAGCCCTACAAGTCCTATATGAACCCGAACGCCGAACACCTTCCATCTGTATATCCACGTGCCGCTAGCGGCACAGGAACAGCGAGAAGCTGTCCTTCATCGTGCTTGGCGGTCAAAGCCTAGGCGCTGGGGGCTTGAGCTTGAAATTTTGCGTTTTTGGTTTTATGACATCTGAGATTGGCATTCGGTGTGTACGCTTAGGGGTTTGGGGTGTAAGGTACAGGGGCGTTTAGGGTTTGGGTCTTGCGGGTTGTGGCTCATGGTCGTCCTGTGCAGCTTGGTGTGGCACCCTAAACCCTAAACCCTAAACCCTAAACACTAAACCCTAAACCCTAAACCCTAAACCGGTGGCCCCTTCAGACATGGTCGCTGCCTCGATCTTCGGGTCCTTTCGTTGTTTCTTTTTTTCTCTTTGGCGGTCCCCCCTCTTGCCCTAAACCCTAAACCCTAAATCCTAAACTGGTAGCCCCTGAAACATTTAGGAGTCTAGGGGTGCCAGTAAGCCCAAGCAGCCCGAAGCCCGGCGTTTTCGCCCCCGCCCAAAACATCTCGGAGTCTCTGAGAGATTGGGGGGGGGGCAAGTCAGCCCTGCTCCCCCATTTTGACTCCTTTTGAGGGTTTACTTGGTCCAGGGTCCGTAAAACCCCTTTTATAGATGTACTTATAAGCCCCCTAAAGTCCTCTAAGTAGGGGTGTAAGTTATAAGTAGACTTACTATTGGGGTTTCTAAGTACCCATGAACCTCCAAGTAGTGTTTCCAAGTAGTGTTTTTGTGTGGGCTTAGGGGGCCATGGCCTCCGTTTCTTTCTTTCCTTCTTTCTTTCTTTCCGCAGGCGAGTGCAACCCCCGACCAGAAAGCGACTTCGACTGTCGCCTGCATAGCTGCCGAGCTGGAGACTGTTCAGTTCAGGGCAGGCGCAGGGCTTAAGTTGAAACAAGGGGTTTATGTGTGTACATGTTTTTTTTCCATACGGATCATTGCTATTATATTTCTGATGTTCCTTCTGGTTTCAAAACATGGGCCGGGAGGACCCCACCCCCGGCCGCCCCCCCCCCCCCCCCCTAACCCCCCTACCCCTAAACCTAACCTAAACCCTAAACCCTAACCCTAAACCCTAAACCCTAAAAACCCTAACCCACCCTAAACCCTAAACCCTAAACCCTAAACCCTAAACCCTAAAACCCCCCCCCCCCCCCCCCAACATGGAGCCTCGAGGTTGTTTCACCGATGTGGAGGTCCCCCAGGCCGCCGTCGCCACAGGCGTCGTCACGCTCGAAGCCCAGGCGCTGCTGCCGGGCAGCGGCTGAAGATTATAGGGTTCTTAATAACCCTAAACCCTAAACCCTAAACCCTAAAACCCTAAACCCTAAGGGAGATTCAAGGGGGGGTATATTAACCCAAGGTTCCCTAGTGCTTTTCAAAGGCTCCCGAAGCTTCCCTGAGGTTCCCTATAGGTACCTACCCTCGAACCCCCTTCCATGAGAACCCTATAAGAAGACAAGCAAGGGGTTACGTCAGCGTGTCCGGTAGTAAAGGTCTACGAACCCGAAACCATCAACAGGCTGATTCAGAGCATGAAATACTCCCTTCCTTTCTTCTTAAGGGATAGCGCTTGAGAAGGCTTTCGAGTTTGAAAGTCCAGCATTTGTGGTTGAGTGCGGGGTGAAGATTCGCAAGGGTCTTTGGGAGTTTGGGGCTTTATAGCGCAATGTTCGGCATTTTGCTTCTCTGCACTATACTTTGGGGGGACGACATGAAACCTAACAGGGTTTATGGCCTTGATACCTCGATAGGAGCGATAGTAGTTTTGGGTAATTCTATGACCTTTTTTAGGGGGTCATACAGCCCCAGTAGAGACCCTGCAAGCACACGTGCTGCGGATGCTTGGAGTTCCTGGATCTTATGTTACTGGCTTGTCCGAGCATGAGCATTTGGACCCTCTGGAACGCGTTTAGGGTTTAGGGTTTAGGGTTTAGGGTTTAGAGTTTAGGGCGCCCTTAACCTGCCCTGAGCTTTGCCAGGCTGTTCGCACTCACAACGACGCTTGGACCTTCCTGGAGATACCCTCAAGCCCGTAGTAGGGCATTGGGGGAATTGTGTATCCCCCTATTCTTGATTTGAAGGGACGATGCGGGGTGCCTAGTTCTCTAGAGTAAGCTCCGTACCCATAGCAAAGCAAGGGACATGCACCTTGATCATTCCTGTTTGAAGGAAATTGTAGCTTCCAATAGGCTTGATTAGTCTAGAGTCTACAGCGTGCAGCATTCCGATTGACCTGGAAACTTAGATTTGGTGGCTTTAGGCTCCAGACTAAGGGCCGATTCTTCCCTTGCGGTCTATTTTGGTCAGGGTGTTGTTCTAGGCCCGCATGTAGGTTGCCCCGTCACGAGCAAAGGGAGTAAGCGATTCAGGGTTTGTGACGGCGGCAACTTCCCAAAACAGGACCCTAAACCCTAAACCCTAAACCCTAAACCCTAAACCCTAAACCCTAAACCCTAAACCCTAAACCCTAAACCCTAAACCCTAAACCCTAACGGCATCATGAGTCCCCACCACCCAAGGATTGCCACTGCAGCCGCATCCACGGCATCTGTTATTCAGCGGCGCTCGCTGCATATGAGGCGGGGAGCTCCTTTGGCCCTAACCCTAAACCCTAAACCCTAAACCCTAAACCCTAAACCCTAAACCCTAAACCCTAAACCCTAAACCCTAAACCCTAAACCCTAAACCCTAAACCCTTGCCATATGCAAACAGAACCCGATACTACTATAACCCCCGTTAAGGTCTTTGGACCATAAGCCGTTTTGGGGTTCATGTCGTTCCCAAAGGAAGACGAGTGTGACCAGAAACCACGCCCAGCCAACCCTCCAGGGCCAACGACACAGAAAATGACAAGCCAAACGGAATGAGAGACCGAGACATCATGAGAAATAAAATCACAAACAAGAAAACGGCAAAAAGATAATGCCAAGCGAACGACCACAAATGACAAGGGGGGCCTGGATTCCACCCCCCCGCACCCCCCCACCCCACCCCCCGGGTCACGCCCCTCCCCACAAGCCTGATACCAATGCCCCGACCTTGGGCTACAAATCCAGTTCAAGCCCAATACTTGACATGTAGCATACTCCCAGAACGTGGCTACAAATTGAAGTCAAGCCCGACACAGAAGCGTAGAGGCCATGGCAAAGAGGAGACAAAACGAGATGACAAGTAGAAAGCACGACCATGAAGAATGACAACCACGAATGACCACAGCATGACACCAACATTTGCAAACGAGTTCATCTACTGCATGATCCTCAAGGATTCTTGACCTGAGTTCTCTTCTGGCACTGCCCGCCCAGGATGGACCATACTGGACCTTATAACCTCCATATTCAACCCTATACACAGCCTGTCTAAAGGGTTATAGGTAGAATAGCCCCCTAAAGCCCAAACCCGAAACCCTAAACCCCAAACCCCAAACCCCAAACCCTAAACCCCAAACCCTAAACCCTAAACCCTAAACCCCAAACCCCAAACCCATCCTGGCCTGCTAACAGGAAGCCACAGAAGGAGAGAAGGTTACGGATCCACGAACCTGGGGCTTTTACTTTGGCAGCGTTTTCGGAAGGGCCTTGAGATTCGCAGGTGTAAATCCTAGACCTGCAAAAGTAACCTTGAAGACTGTATGACGGATCCACGTCCCTGGGACTTCTACTTTGGCAGGTTGTTGGGGCCTTGAGATACTCATGTATAAATCCTAGACCTGCAAAAGTGCCTTTGAATACTTTATAGGATACCTCTAAACTCAAACCCTACACAATTATTGCAAAGAGCTTTTTGGGGGTTTGGCACGGGAGAGGCTCCCCCCAATTGAAGGACCAAAGACTTCCCCATACTTCCCACAACTTTGCGAAGAGATATGATCTAAGCGTAGTTATACCGTCCCTTGAATACTGGGGTTTAGGGTTGAGGGCCCCCTAAATGTGGTCCCTTCCTTACCTTGGGTTCTGAAGTATGGGCCCTTCGGTTTTATTGTGTATACCAGGGTATATTCGGGTTTATCCTGAAGGGGCCCATATGAAGGGGACCATGGAACTACTCAGCCCCGGTGTGGGGAATCATCGGTCCAGCATACGTTGCAGGGATTCAGGTGCACTTGCTGTACTCTAAACCTTATCGGGTTTAGGGGTTTAGGGGTTTTGGGGTTTTGGGGTTTAGGGTTTAGGGTTATAAAGCCTGAGCCCTAAACCCTGAAACCCTAACCCCCCAGAAGCCCTATACCTCAGAGCAACACTTAGTCGTTTTGTCTGGTAATAACAAAGATAAGCACTCTGGGGTAGGGGTTATAGTGAGTCCAGACATCCGACCACACCTTGCTGACATAGTCCAGGTCAACAATAGGCTTATTCATATCATACTCAACAAGAGGGGAGGTAGGATACACTTGTTAGGAGCGTATGCGCCACATTCAGGTCATGATCATGACACAGTTCGGCAACCGTTTTGGGAATCCCTAGAGGAATATGTGGCGAAAATACCCCAACCAGAACCAGTGTATCTTACGGGTGATTTTAATGTTCGGTTTCAAGCACAACACAAACATGATGAGGGCGTTACAGGGCCATTCACATACGGAAAGGGTTCGCAAGCTATCGACCACACCGCCCAATCCAACCGCTCGTTGTGCGTTCGAACAATGCTTCTTCTAGATATGCTGGAGGTCGCCTCATACAAAACACCCAACCCAGTTCACCACATCACTTTCCGGGATAAAACAGCCCCCCCCCAAAGGATTGGTCGCAGTACGTCTTGGATCCTTTGATCATGCAGCAGGTGTATTCAGAGCTACATAGAGTGATGCCATCACAATCCTTGGAAGTAGCGGCCAGAATACGCAGCTTCTTACCGCTGGCGCAACCTCTTCCTCCGCCCCGAGTAGATCCCTCACCCGACCCCGTTCGCTTTCAGCGGCTAGACCACACCTTCACTAGGAGACAATGGCTTTCATCCGTTAACTCATGTAGATCTAAATTGCATACAGGGTACCCGTCGGACCATTATCTCCTGGTAACGGAAGTGCAGGTTAAGTTGGCACGTAGAGACCCCCCACCACCAAAGCCCCCAGAATTTGACTTCTCTAGAGTAAGCATTGATCAAAGACTGGCTTATAACGCACAAATTCGGGGCTCCCCGCAAAGTAGCCGTAAGGATGGGTCTTCTGACCCTGACCACACCGCCAGAATGAGCTTCTATACGGACGGCTCGGGAACAGGTGGACGATGCACAAAAACAACACCAGCGGGCTGGGGATGGTGTACCAAGCAACACGGGGAGTGGATCACCGCGCGGGGCAGGGTGGAAACTGACCACACCGCCAGATTTTACTACGGGGCCCAGGTCGGTTCTAACAACACTGGGGAGCTGACAGCTATTATAGAGGCACTATTATACGCCTTGGAGCAAGGGTGCGGTAGAGCAGATATATACTCGGACAGCCAGTGGGCCATCAACGTCATTACGGGCAGGTGGCGTGCAAAATCACATAAAACACTAGTTGGCCGTGCACACACACTCTCAACACAAACAGGAATGACAGTCTCGTTCCATTGGGTCAAGGCGCACGCAGGCACAGAAGGTAACGAAAAGGCGGATGCACTCGCCAACGCTGGGCGTACACAGGGGCGCAACGGCGGAAGTAACATGGTTCCCCCGGACACTCCGCCCCAGGACCACACCCCCACCATGTCAGCGGACACCATGGTGCACGCCATGAAGCAGGCTGCGGCGGATCACTTTCCTTACAAAGAACGACGCGCGCACACACCATGGATCAAAGACCACACCCTACAGCTCCTGGCCCAGGCACGGGCAGCGCAAGCGGAAGGTCACGAAGATTGGAAAACGCAAAGAAACAAAGCCAAGAGGGCAGAAGGGATAGAATCGACTGGGTTCATGACCAACTTTTAGCAGACCCGGATGCCAGTCACTCACCGCTTTGGAATGCAGTTCGCCGACAGAAAAAAGGTTTCGTGGGGAAAAAATCGCATCTAATTGTAAACGGGAAGCCAGTCCCATGGTCAAAATCGCACGCCGCTTTCAGGGATCACCTCGAGGGTTCGCAATGGGCTCCGCCCAACATTCCTGACCACACCGCCGCTAGACGTAGAGCTAGACCGGGATTACGTCCACAACTCCCTGATGAAGGACGGTTCACTTTGGACGACCTTCAACGGGCCATTCAAAAAAGTAAAGGCGGAAAGGCTCCGGGACCGGACCAGGTGAGGAACGAGCTGTTTATGCTATTAGACAGGGAAGGAGAAGCAGCGCTCTTGAGTATCTACAACAAATGTTGGGAGGAAGGCGACATCCCGGGACCATGGGCCGAAGCAATAGTAGTGTCAATATATAAGGGTAAAGGTCTAGACACAGACGTCACCAACTATCGACCCATTTCTTTACTTAACACCATTTACAAAATATACGCTGCTATGCTGCAACACCGCCTCGCAAAATCAAGTGAGCATTTCCTTCGCAGTCGACAGTACGGTTTTCGAGAAGGTAGAGGCACACAACAGCCCATATTTGTTTTACGCCGCGCCATGGAGTGGGCGGAAATGACAAATAAACCATTACAACTATTATTCCTAGACTGGAAGCAGGCCTTTGACTCACTCGACCACACCGCCATGCTCGAAGCGTTGCGCCGTTTCGGTGTTTCAGAACTTATGCTCAAGACAATACAGGCTATATATCAGTCTCCAACCTTTTACACCAGAGGACCCGATCACACCGCCGCAGCAGGCTCTGTACACTCAGGTATTAGGCAAGGATGTCCCCTATAAGCCCATATCTATTTATTATAGTACTCACAGTCATGCTTGCGGATGTTGATAACGACTTACTACTCCAAGGCACGCCCACCAATACCTGGTCAGAAGGCTATCCAACGTTCGATTTAGAGTACGTGGATGACACATTGTTGCTAGCCTTGACCACACCGCAGATGCAGGACATTCTCACATCATTAGAGTCAGTAGCACATGAATACGGTATGCACCTAAATAAAACCAAGACTGAGCTCCTAATCAATCCCGATCGCCCCTCCTCTCCGTTGTACTTTACGGATGGCGCGGCCGTCCCGACCACACCGCAAATCAAGTATTTTGGCACCAGGATCACATGGAAAAAACCCTTTGACGCCGCATTCTTACATAGAGCAGCTATAGCCGAGGAAGCATTTAAGAAGCTCCGCTTAGTATGGAACAGTAGCCTTTCCCAGGCGGTACGTTTACGTATTTTCCAGTCTACCTTCACGCCCACACTTATTTACGCGTTGGATACCCTCACTCTTACGCAAAAACAACTAGACAGGGTGGATGCTTTCTTCATTCGGTTCCTAAGAAGAGTGGTTCGCGTCAAAGCATCCTACTACTCCCGCATCCCAAACACGGAAGTTATGCGCAAAGCAGGATATCCAACCCTACCATCCACACACATCCTCAACGCCCAGCATAAAACCCTTAAACAAGTATTTATGGCCCCCAGAGCGGAACCAACACATAGTGTGGTTTTTACGGCTGCCTTTAAGGACCGTATTCTAGCACAAGGAAGACGTCGCGGAATGCAGATACCATACTGGTTAGAAGTCCTCACTAAAAGATTTTATCCGCAGTATTGGGATCCTGACCACACCGCCCGTACCCGCACCCTAGGCCCACACTTCAAGTATGTCGAAGTAGCTAGGGTCATTCGGGAGTCAGACAGTTCCGGGAGGGCGCCAAAGCGCGCAGCTGCATCGCGCGCACGGCCCTGACAAAAAACCCCCCAGAAGTGAGTACGTGCGCAAGAGGCCCTAGGTTTTGTGTGCACGCCCTTTTGTAAGCCGAGTTGGGGCGTCGGGCTGCACGAGTTGGGGTTTGTTCCCTGAAGGCGATTAAAGGAGCCATAAGGGGTTGAAGTTGGGATGTTCACCCTTATACGAACAGTCCTAACTAGGGACTACTATACTCCCTGTTAAGGACTGTTAGTATAAGGGGGAACATCCCGGGGTTGAAGTTTCCAGGGTTTCTGGGTTTTGGCCAACATCAAAGTTCAGCTTTTGGGTGGGAAAGTTCTGCAGTCCAGGCACATAAGGCGTGATGCAACAGCTATGGCGAGGCCGTAACGAGCACGACGTAAAAATGCAAATCTCTACGACACAGCCTTGGAATTAAACTAAACCGGAGTATGAGCTCAAGGATATGGCGCTTTTCTCGTCCTCACGTTGATCCCAGCAACTTGGCCGGCGTGAAAGCCTGGCTGGTCAGATACACCCCACTCTGATCTCGGGTTTATGGACGTGAGAGGTCGGTTTACAGGGTTCGAGGGTTCGGATTCAGCCTCAGTGCTAGAATTGGCAGCGTTGAGTTTAGGGTTCAGGGAGCAATGGGGCAAGGTCGCCTGTGATTGCGGATATTTGCGCTATTTCTGGCATGGGCTTGTTGGGTTTCCGTTCGCAGCTACATACGATCGCCTTTCGACACAAAATGTGCTGCCGTTGGAAATTAAGGTCACTTCTCTAGATTCTGGGATCACATTCCCTTGCTTCGATAATTCCCATCAGGGCACACACTCCATGATCCCCTAAACCCTCAACCCTAAACCCTACACCCTTTTAGGGTTCATGTCGTCCCCAAGGAAGTTCTTTTCAAGAGTCTTGCGCCACCCGGGAGGTAGACCCACCTGGCAGACTGCACAGCCTTGAGATCTTAGGGTTTAGGGTTTAGGGTTTAGGGTTTAGGGTTTAGGGTTAAGAGTCCCAGGTAGCTGCGAATGCATCCGTGCCTCACCACATGAGGACAGCCCGGCCGAGTTTGGGGTTTAGGGTTTAGGGTTTAGGGTTTAGGGTTAGGGTTGGGGAGAATAGGAGGGGACTGAAAGTTCGGCTGGGGTCTCGGGCGCCGAGGATCAAAACTTCTGGTCTCCATCACTCAGCATCACTCAGTGCCCAATACTTGGAGGTTCATGGTACTTATTCACCCAATTATAACCGTACTTATCACCCACTTAGAAGCCCCTTAAGTGCCCTAATATGGTTATAAGTCCAGTTATAAGTACAGTTTCAAATGGGTGAATCAGTACCATGAACCTCCAAGTAGTCAGAGTATGCCATCGGGGTGTTCGCCTCATGAAGCCTCGCGGCATTGAAAGAACATGAAAGATCCCGGCCAAGCCCTACGTAAAGACTTCGCCTGCACATCGGCATATTCCTACATGTTTTCGGCTCACATCGTCCCTTCCATCCCTTCCACCAGCATGAGCCAGAAAGACTCAAAAGACTTGCCGGCAGGCCACCTGACGAGGAGCTGGTGGTGGAAAAGGAGAAGGGCCACAACGCGACAGGCCAGGCAGATCTCCACATCTCTGCCCTAGACTAGCCTTTCTCACAGTTACAAACGCCCAAATGCACCCACCATACAAGACATAGACAGCAGCCCCAGATCACCCTATACAACGGGTCATGATCCGGCGTGGTCCCAGCACAGGATTTCTCGGGCAAGCCATCTGCAAACCTGAAAATACTTTTTGCATGGGCCGGGTCGCGCACCGTCAGTTCGAGCTTTCTGTCGCAGCGCAGGGTATCAAGCGGACTGACGGCCGAAGCAAACGAAGTTCTTTCTTCTATACAACTTCGAATCCAGTTTCTCTCCATTATTTATCAACTGAATAGAAATATCCAAACTGCACCAAGTCAAGACCGTCTGAACATATACGCGACGAGCAATGTCCGATGCACAATGAAACCATCATAGTCCCAGGCAAAGTTGCAAATGGCCTTTACAAAGCTCTCAGCCAATCAAGAAACTGGGTGTTTGGAGATACCAGGCCCAACGCCACAAATCCCAAAACCCTGCAATCCCCAACTGCGAGCCTGTGCGCGAGAGCGACTTAGTAGTAGAGTAGGTAACCTTTAACCTTTTTGGGTTAGTATATTCCCTTTATATTCCCAAAGGTCGACCTTGAAAGCAGCTAGGTACTGGACAACTAAGGCGAGAGTCGAACCTGTGAGCCCCAAACCTCCAAAATCCCGAGCCCCCGGCCATTAGCCATTTTGGCTCATTCCTGGGATGAACACCCTTTCTCCCATCTTCCTTCGTGAGACTCGAGAATGAATGCAACCCAGAGCTGAGGGACATGCAAGTTGCATTGCGCTTGGCCCACGTGGCCCTGGTCATGCACGTTTCTGCGTCGTATGTCCCTGACGAGGGATGCCCCAGCCTGCAGCTGTTGCAAACAGCCATGTCCACCAGAAGACATCAGGAGGCGTCTCAGGCGTCTTGGTCCCCTCAGCTCCAGAAGGATGCAGAGATCCGCTGGAGTGACCTGCAGCTCCGCTTGGAGAACTCCCGCCTGAAGGAGGAGCTGGAAGGAACTCTTGCGCCTAGGCCCTTGGGGCATTTTCATATCTTCCCTTATTGGGTTTGAGGGTTTGAGGGTTTAGGGTTTAGGGTTTAGGGTTTAGGGTTTAGGGCTCAGATTCAGGAATATTGTCTCAGAGGGTTTTTAGGTTTTAAGGGCCATCCTAGGCGCAGCTCTCAACGCCGCATCCAAAAAACAGCAGCCAGGGCCGACATGGCATCGACTTTGGGGCACCACTACCCATGACCTTGCTTGTTGCCGGCGTTTTTGCATGCATCTACCTCTTGATCTACCTGGTGCACCTTGTGGCATTTTTCGGGCGCAGGGCGCGCATCAAGGCCAGCAATCGTCGCAGACATCACTTCGAACCCCCCGAGCGTCTTCCAGACTTCTCCGAGTGTTTGGAGGAGATGAAAGGAAGGTTCTGCTGCAACATGAAGCACCCAGGTAGGCGTTTGGGAGATTTTTCCTGTTTTCTCTGATTATTTGGGTTTAAGAGGAATCATATATCTTAGGAAGATTCGTTTAAGGGTTTTAAGGCGCCATACAAGGCACAAGTCAGTTGTGCGACTGTTCCTCATCATGATCATTGCAACTGCAGGCGGGATATATTTGCTGCGCGAGGGCTATTTCGACGCGATCAAAGACAAGCTCCTTGAACACCCAAAGATTGGGGTCGTAGGCCCTAGACCACTACAACCACCTCTTTTCAAGGTCATAGGGACCCGAAGCCCCTTTAGAGCTCCCCGAGGCTGGTTCCTCTCCTGTACTTGGGCATCGTCATCCTTATGATCCTGCAGATTGTGATTGCAGAGGTGTGGACTCGCATCGGCAGTCTCATGGAGCCTCTTTGGCGCTTCCACAGCGTGATGTCGGACGTGGGCAATACAGGCTTTGGCGCGCTCTCCAAAGTGGGGCAGACCTTCAGCATGCCGCGGTGCTGATGTAAGAAAAGGAGAGGGTTGAGATCACAGAATACAGGGGCGAATATGGGGGGGGGGGTTCCGAAATTAGGGGTACCTTATGGGGGTCCTTAAGTCCTCATATCCCACCATGTCGGGATCTACATTGGGGCCCCCTGTTTTCGCAAAGCCCTCATACGTGCCTCAATATATGGAATCCTTGCCTGTCGTGCGCGAGTGTGAGCGTCGGAGGAACCCTGTACTGCCGCCCCAATGAGCCTTGAACCCTAAACCCTAAACCCTATAACCCTAAACCCTAAACCCTTAACCCTTAAACCCTTCCTTCGAGGTCTCGGCTGCAGCTGCCCAAAGAAGATGGCAACCTGCCAGCGGCGGCCGCCCTTCCCGTGCCGTGGCCCTGTTCGGTTTAGGGTTTAGGGTTTAGAGTTTTAGGGGTTAGGGTTTGGGGCTTAGGGCCTGACATTGACTGAGCGCCTGTGAGAGAGAGAGAGAGAGAGAGAGGGTTTAGGGTTTACGGTTTAGGGTTTAGGGTTGAGGGTTGAGGGTTTAGGGTTTAGGGTTTAGGGTCAGGGTACTGAGAGCAGCTGGCTTCGTGCTACCCTGAAGGGTTCCGTAGTCAGCGGCCAGGGTTCCCAAAACGACTACTGGGCAGGTGGTCAGGGTGTTGCTTTCAACTAGGTAAAACTGTTCTTTCTTAAGGGATCCTGCAGTAGCAGTTCTTTGAACCCTGTAAGCCCGAAACCCCAAACCCCAAACCCCAAACCCCAAACCCCAAACCCCAAACCCCAAACCCTAAACCCTAAACCCTAAACCCTAAACCCTAAACCCTAAACCCCAAACCCTAAACCCTAGCCTACACCCTAAACCCCACACCCCACCCTACATGCGCATGGGCTCTCGAGGCTAGGCGAGTGGCCGCGCTCGTTCCGCGCGACCCCCGCAGCTCTCCGAAGGAGATCTCACGGATCTCCCCACAAAGGTTTAGGGTTTAGGGTTTTGAGGTTTTAGGGTTTTAGGGTTTTAGGGTTTTTGGGTTTAGGGTTTAGGGTATACACCCTTGCTTGTGGTTTAGGGTTTTAGGGTTTTACGGTTTTTAGGGTTTGGTTCTGGGCTGCTTGGGAGGTGGTGAGGAGACCTGCTGGAAAAGAAATTTTAGGGTCTACCAGCCGGGTTTACGGTTTTTTGTTTTTTTGTATAATTTTAAGTTGTGGTTAAGGGACTTGATTGCAGTGGTTTTGGGCTCAGTAACCCTGAGCCCTGGACATTGAAGAAGCCGTGCCGAAGTTTCAACTCACATGGCATTGGGGGTTCAGGGTTTTTAGGGCCCCAAAGTAAAAGGCTCGAAGGCCCTGTGGTTGTGGGAGGTGCCGGTGATCCCGGTTTAGGGTTTAGGGAAATCCGCCGCGGTGTTTCTTCCAGGAGAGCCGCGGAGTGTAACGGCCCAGACGTGCTGCTTGGAGCCTGGTCTGCGAGGAGCTGCGTAGCCCCAAACCCTAAGCCTTGAACTGTAGTAGCTAAGCCCTAAACCACATTTTCCTCCAGTTTCGGGCTTTCAGTTCTAGTAGGTCTTGAGAACAGAATCTCAAGCCTCCGTGCATGTAAGGGGCCCCTCAACATGTAGAGTCATGCTGCTGACTACTTGGAGGTTCATGGTACTCATTAACAAATCAGAACTGCGCTGATAACCGTACAAAACCCCATCTTAGGGCACTTAAGGGGGCTTATAAGTGGGTTATTAGCACAGTTAGAATTGATTAGTAAGTACCATGAACCTCCAAAGTAGGCAATCGGCATATAGCCCTGAGTGAAAAAAAACGCCTCTTGCGGACGATCCGAAGCCGAGGCATATCTGTGTCCCTGCCCCTGTGCCTTCAGCTTTGCCGCGAAGTGCCGGATTGCCAATTTGTAGCCTACGGAGCAGCTTCGCTGCACGTGGCGACCGAAAGGTTCAAGCGAAGGTTTGAGCATGGGACTTGCATGTCTTGATCAGGAGGTTTCAGGTCGCATAAATGTGCAGCGGTTGTGCTGCTGTGTCTCGCAGGATGACCAGGAGTCGTTACATTGTGGTTGCAGGACATCGATCTCTCGCTCTCTCCCTCGACCTCTCTCTCTCTCTCTCGCACGCTTTTTCTCCAGATTTTTTCCGAAGGCATGGCCTTCGAAGATTCAAATCTCGGCAGAATGAGTTGACCGAACTAATGCGCGTTTGAGCATTCATTCAAAAAACCTTCGGTTGGGTACCCTGGCAGCTGTACCATGTGTTAGAGACTTCATATTTCGCACCTTGACAGCATGCAGTGCAGATTATCAGCCCTGTCCCAGATTGGCAAAAAGAAGGGGCAATGCCACTGGGAACTCAACGAGTGCCTGGACTTCGAGGACGACTCGTACCTGGCGTGGCGGCCGCAGTTGGGCGGTCTCTGCTTTGGTTGGAATGTTGCCTGTTTCTGGTCACCAACATTGGATTCAGTGGTAGTGCTGGTGAAGACAGGACATGCATCATGCCCTTTTGTAAGTATGGCAATGCAGACGACAAGAATACCCATTCCAGTTAAGAAGATGTCGACCTCCCTGCGAGATCAAATCCAAGCCAAGGTCTTTGAGCCTTGCCCGCGATAGAGGGGCGGGACGATGTGATGATGCAGCTAAACCCTAAACCCTACACCCTAAACCCTAAACCCTAAACCCTAAACCCTACACCCTAAATCCGATTCGGTTGTCTTGGGCGAAGTTTGAATGCTGAAGGCCAGGAACCTCGGGGACGAAATGAACCCTAATGGGAATTTATAGTAGAAAGGGAATATGATCCCATGTTTAGGGTTCGTTTGGTCCTGAAGAAAGGTGTCATGGAAGTCTGGCAGCACAGGGTCACAAAGAGGGAAGCCAGGAGCGACCTCGACCCGAGGACATCACCCCCACGCTGCACGCGGGGCATGTGACGGCGGCAGCTCGCCATGGATGCTCGCTCCCTGGCTGCTCCAGAACCCTAAGCCCTAAACCCTAAACCCTAAACCCTAAACCCTAAACCCTAAACCCCTAAACCCTAAACCCTAAACCCTAAACCCTATCCTGCCAGGGACCTAATGATGCGGTCCAGGGTTCTATTTCATGCGGCCCTTGGAAGGAGAGGGTTTGTTGCCTTGTCTCCAGCTTTCCCATCCTGCCACTGTCAGGTTGCAGTGCGCACTTGCGGGCGAGGCCGGCGGGACTCTCCCTGAACCTTATACTCATTAGGACTTTAGGGTTTTAGGGTTTAGGGTTTTAGGGTTTTAGGGTTTTAGGGTTTCAGGGTTTTAGGGTTTTAGGGTTTTAGGGTTTTAGGGTTTTAGGGTTTTAGGGTTTTAGGGTTTTAGGGTTTTAGGGTTTTAGGGTTTTAGGGTTTTAGGGTTTTAGGGTTTTAGGGTTTTAGGGTTCAGGGTTTAGGGTTTAGTGTTTGCTCTTTAGGGTTCAGGGTTTCGGGTTTGGGGTTTGTAGAGCATGCCCGTGCCCTTCCCATGCCCGCTGCAAGAAGGGTTTGTAAAGTTGAGGGAGCTACCTTAAATCGATAAATGTGCACTTGAGTGTACCAAGCCACCAGGCCCTTCAACTCGGGTTTCGGCAGTTTCGGAGGTTTGATTGCACCGAAAGGCCGGGGCACGAAGCGAGGTCCTTGCAAAGGGCTAGGCGGCTTGGTATAGCTTGGTGAAGGGGGGGCACCCTAGCGCCTTCCAGCACCCCCCTTTTAACTTTTTACCTTAAAAGTCCTGAACTTCAATCCTAAAGCAAGGGTTGAGGGGTTTAGGCGGTTCCCATCGATGACTTTGTGTGGTCGACGGTGGAAAGCAAGTCAGTGGTGCCCTTTTGTTCGGCGTTGCAGCTTCGAGCTTCGGCCTCGCTCTGGCCTTCCTCTTCAGCTCCGGATGCAAAAGATATGAAGTAGGGTTTATATTCCTTGTATCCCCAAAAGGACACCCAATCTATACACTCACCAACATCAAAAAGGAACCTTATCTACACTCACCAATAGCAGTAATATAAACCCTGTTTGATATGTTCCTATGTTGGGCTCAGCCCAGTTGCAGAAAAGAAAGAGGTCTCAACCACTTGCAACCCAAGCGTCGCAGACCGTAAACCGAGCTAAGACAGCTCAAAGGATTTGGAGCCGGTGCCATTCCAAAAGCCCAAAACCCAAACCCCTGAACGCTCAACCCCAAACCGCAAACTTCTAAACTAATCCCTAAACCCTCCGGCCGGAGGATCTTGAGGAGGCCAACCAAGCTGCCGCCTTAGAGAGGGGGAGGCTTTTGTCTTGGGTGCGTAGTAAAAGGTGCCGTACTTCTGCCCATCGTTATGCCTAAATTTATCAGGAGATCTCTGATGCCTTGGCAAAGAGAACCAGTTTTTGGGGCTCCAGTTGGGGGGCGTGGCTGGCCGTTTCTGCATTTTCGAATGCTGCTTCCCGTATGCCATTGGGATCATTCTACTGCTTGGTAGCCCGGTGGTACCCTTGACCATCTTGTTTTGGTTCAAGGTTTCCTTTTTCAAGTAAGCAACCCCAAAAAGGGTACCCTTACTCTCGTTAATATGGTTGCCGGGGTACCAAGACTAGGCCTGGGTCTTAGGAACCGATGGAGCCTCGCGAAGGGGTCGACCTGCTCATCACGGAGGAAGGCGCAGAAACAAGAGGTTTTGGGATCCAGGTGGATCTAGGGTTTTGGGTCCAGGGTTTAGGGTTTACGGTTTAGGGTTTAGGGTTTAGGGTTTCGGGATTGGGTTTAGGGCTGCTATGCGATGAGGTTCAAATACGTGTGTGCCGTCGCTGCTGCTTCGAGTCTTGGGGATTGTTGGAAAAGCGTCTATGGTTCTGCCACTGGCCCTGCCTCAAAACCCTAAACCGCCTAAGGCACCTGGCCCTCAAATCTTCCGAGGCACCCAGATGCCCAAAGCCCCGCATCCTAAAGTTCAGACTTGACTGGGGCTAGGCAAGGGCCATGGCTTACTTGAAACCCTAAGCCTAAACCCTGAACTGTTAAGCCCTCTTGTGCAGGTTGGGGGCTGAGTTCTGCGAACTGGCTCATCCGGCGCAGCGACTGGAGCATTGCCCCTAAGCATCCCTATAGGGGTTTGGGCGGTCTGGGGGGAAAAACTGGGGGAGCCCCAAACCCTAAACAACGCCATCAGCGCTAAACCCGAGACCCTGAATTCTAAAACCCTAAACCCTATAACCTATAACCCTTATAAACTCTAAACCCTAAACCCTAAAACTCTAAACCCTAAACTTTGTCTGCGGTTCGGCCAGCTATGCGGGAGCGAAAAAAACCCTGCCAACCCGAAGGGCTCCCTGATAAAGCCCTCCAAAAACAATCCCAAAGCTTTGAGACTCCCAAAGCCCAAACTCTAAACCCACGAGAGAGAGCGAAAGAGAGAGCGAGAGAGAGAGAGAGAGAGAGAGAGAGAGAGAAAGAGAGAGAGAAAGAGAGCGAGAGAGAGATAGAGATGGAGATATAGATGGAGATAGAGATGGAGATAGAGATAGCGAGAGAGAGAGAGAGAGAGCTAGAAGACGCAAGTTTTTACGTGTCACCTATCTATAAGAAAGAGGGAAACAGAGGCAAGAGAGTTCAGGAAGAAAGAGAAGACATACAATACAAGAGGCATGCCCTTGCAACACAATGAACCGAAAGGCAGACCCTCAAAAGAGCTTCACCCAATTAGCATCTGACCACAAGGCATTTCTGGAACGGGCCTTTGAGCTATGCCACGTCGACATGCCCTTGTTTGGGGACCAGGCGCGCCCAGTGCTGAAGATGATTCCGGGATCCGAACCCCCACGCACCCCAAACCCTCAACCCTATAAGCCCTATGAACCCCCTGCATTCCTAAACCCTCTGAGCCCTGAACTTCGAACCCTATAAGCCCTATAAACCCTAAACCTTAAAAACCCTAAAAACCCTGTAAACCCTATAAACCCTAAAAAAAACGCTACAAACCCTAAAAACGCTATAAACCCTGTAAACCCCTATAAACCCTATAAGCCCTAAACCTTTGAAGGATGCCATGATTCACTTGCTCCTCAACACCCGGGCGCTGTCCACCAAAGCAGGGGACGCCTTGGACCCTCATGCCGCAACTCCTCCGCAAAGACCGCACCCTAAACCCTAAACCCTCAACCCTCAACCCTAAACCCTAAACCCTAAACCCTAAACCCTGGCAGGCGGTTTGGGGGCTTAGGACTTGGGGTTTCCGCCTTTATGTCGGGGTAGGTCTATGGTCCCTTAGTATGGTCCCTTACCTTCTTTAAAGGGCTCTGAAGTATGGGCCTTCGGGGTCATATAAGGGGTATCTAAGAGGGAGTCCCTTTTTAAGGGCACCATGTAACTATCCCAAGAGATCCTAAGAGTTTTCGGGTTGGGGGTTTAGGGTTCAGGGTATCTTCCGTGCCGTTAGACGGACACCCTCAACGGAGAACAAGTCCTGGGCTTTGAATGCGTTGCCCCGTGATACTCGGCAGGGATCGCAGCAGTTTTATATGCCTTCTGGCCTGAGGGTTTAGGGTTTAGGGCCATATGCCTTCTTGCCTTGGGGTTTAGGGTTTAGGGTTTAGGGTTTAGGGTTTAGGGTTTAGGGTTTAGGGTCCCTCTGAATCCATCCCATAGTCGGCCCGGGGAGTGACCTACAAATTACGGGCTCTTGCTGCCGCCCTTCACGAGAAGGCATGTGCTGTAGGATAGAAGCCCCCCCAACAAAGGGTCCATACTCATCACCCTATCCCGGATCCCTGAACCCTAAACCCTAAACCCTAAACCCTAAACCCCCCTCCCCTAAAACCCAAGACAAGGTCATCGTGCCGCAGAGGGAGCTCAACGCCTATGATGCCACTCGATTATGCCCGCATTAGGGGTTTATGGTTTAGGGTCTGGGCCTCCCGTTGAGAATATTCATGCACACTGTGCCCCAAAAATGCACGCGACATGCAAGCTGGATACCTAGATAAAGCCTCTTTGCGTGCAGGGCCGTGCGTAGTTGAAAGGTATTGGGTTTCAGGTTCGTGCTGCGACCCCTGTTCGCCCGGGCTGCCATTGGTGACTCCATGCGCCAGCATGACCAAGCATGATGAATGGAATCTGGCTACACCAAGCAAACCACAGCCAGGGTTTCAAGAGGCAGCCCATGACATCCTCGCACCTGCGGCTGGAGATTGTCAACACTTCCATGGTAGGGATCGAGGCATGAAGGCCTTCGGTAGTCACATGGCTTCCCGCAAGACCTTATCAGCTTGCTGTGCACATCCCGCCATGGAGCGTTTTCACGGCATCGGCGGCATCGGCGTTAGCGCGCTCTTTGGCTGGCATAGGGTAGTGCCTGGGCGATGTATCTTAGGGTATGTCATGGTCCCTTAACATTAATATAGTCCCTTACCGCCTGCAAAAGGGTTCTGAAGTACTGGCCCTGGGGTCGTATAGGGGCAAGGGGAAAGTAAGGGGTCCCCTTTGAAGGGCCCAACCCGAGAGCTTCGTGTTGGAAGCTTGGAAGATGATCTGCCTTCGTTGCAGCTTCTCAGGCCGTTGGGGACATGTGAAAGGTCATTCCATCTATGTCTCAGGCTTCCCCAGGTCGTCATGAATCGTTGTGAGGCGATTTCGGGGTTAGGTTCTCAGATGGCACTCTGGGAGCTATTAGATCTTTCAAGCCTACATGCTGACAACCTTGCTGCTCCCTCATCTCCGGAAGGACGGGAAGCCATCATCCTACAGTACACACCATCCAAAGACATACCAAGGCCTCTTCGCATCTCCGCGCCCTCTTTAGACTCCCGGGCACCGCCCGGGCGTCGCCCGTGGACGCCTTGCGCTGAAGGTCTGAGAACCACGGCCGCCGCCACCGCGGCGTGGCTTCAATGCGCAAAGGGTGGGTTGAACCCTAAACCCTAAACCCTAAACCCTAAACCCTAAACAAAAGAGAAAACCTTGGTTTAGGTTGGGGTCGAGTGGTTCAATGATGGGCCTAATGGGAGGAGCATAGAAGCAGGGTCTCTTGCATCGAGGAACCCTAAACCCTAAATACCCCTAAATCCTGAATACCCCTAAACCCTACATACTCCTGAACCGTAAATACCACACTTTTAATTGACATTCTTATATACATTTCGACAGTTTCTTTTATAAAGCTCAGGGCCGTAAGTGTTTTTGGGCGCCTGGTCGGTCTAGGTCAAGGGTTTCGGGGTGCAGCCAAGGTTGTCCTGTCCTTCGCCGCCAGCAGAGGCGGCCAACATTGACCACCAATTTTGGGGTTTCCCTAATTTGTGGTGACTTTTTCGGGTTCCGATGATATACAAACAGGCAGTCAGAAAAATCTCATTTAGCACTTGGGCTAGGTTTCTCATGCTAGAGAGACGGCCCGCTGTGATCAAGCTTGCCTGCGCTGTCAGTCTATAAGTCTTCGACAATCCGACCTGCGGCCAGATCAGTAGCGGTAGATAGCGATAGGTATGTTGACCCACAGAAGTCTTCGCTATGCCTTCTCTAAACCCTAAACCCTAAACCCTAAACCCTAAACCCTAAACCCTCTTGTCTATGAATTGAAGGATTCCGAAGCCGGCAGCTTAAGCTGCGCCGGGCGGCCTTTGCCACGCGGAAGCTCGGCTCCAGCTCGACCCTTGGATTCAAGATTTATAGGGTTTAGGGTTTAGGGTTTAGGGTTTAGGGTTTAGGGTCAATATCTTGTGTTTAGAGTGTAGGGTTTAGGGTTCAGGGTGGATAGCCCACATGGATGCAGAAAAATTCAGTCAGTCTTTAATATCTATATGTATATATGTATACAAATATATGTAGTCTTTTTTGTCTATGCTATTTTTGCGTTTCTATTTTAACTTCACTTCAGTTCAACTCAGTTCTTTTCCCATTCCATTCTAGTTTAGTTCTGTTCTATTCTGTTCTTTTCTGTGCCATTCTATTCCATTCTACCGGTAGATGTATATACACATGTAACTACATACTAATGCACGTGGCCTTTTGGAGTGCAGGGGCTTCTGTGGAGTGTAGAGTTCAGATCACCATGCCGAACCTAGGCCCTTTTTTTGTGAGGCCCTAAACCCCTAAACCCCTAAACCCCTAAACCCCTACACCCCTAAACCCCTAAACCCCTAACCCCTAAACCCCTAAACCCCTAAACCCCTACACCCCTAAACCCCTACACCCCTAAACCCCTAAACCCCTAAACCCCTAAACCCCTAAACCCCTAAACTCCTAAACCCCTAAACCCCTGAACCCCTGAACCCTAAACCCTAAACCCTGTTCTTTTACAGCGACTCACTGAGGCTCACGGTCACGGAGCCGTGCTTGGGCACGATGACATGGGGCGCGACTTGCAGCAAAGCTTGTGCACCTGGCTGGTTCTTAGTAGGGAATGAGGGAAGGAGCTACCCTGTATAATCCCTTAAAGGGTATGTATCCTATAATTATAATCCCTTAAAGGATGTATATATATATATATATATATAGATATAGGGGCCTCATTCCCTCATTCCCTACTAAGAACCCGGGGTGCATGTGACGATTCACGAGTTCTGGCCAAAGGCCGTGGGAGAGTAGCATGCATAGAGTTTAGGGTTCACAGAATTCAACCTCATCACCAGGTCTGGAATGATCATGCTGCCTTCCACTTCGCTCTGTTAGGCATGCTGGCCTCTGCTGAATTCATTCTTCGGCAAGCAGGCTTTGTGAGGATAAGAAAACCTTAACCCTGGATCTAAGATTCAGAACGATGAAGCTGAAGCGCACCAACAGCTGGACTATGCCGTCAAAGAGTGCCCTGACATTGCCTGGGAAGCTACAAGTACTGAGTAGCTCAGTGGTACCCTTTCCCCGTTTTTTGTTCAAGGTTCCCTTAACCAGGGTGCCCTTGTTACATTAAATTTACTGGGCTACCAAGAGCAATTCCCAAACAGACCGGGTCTAGGCCTACAACAGGTCGACGGCTTCAGGATTGCAAAGGGTTTCATGCTTCCTTTCATCTTGCCTGATTCCAATGGAAGCCAGGCAGGTGGAAACCTGCAGTTGCCATTTGGGTGGGGTCCATTGGCACCCGGGAGCACCCTACCTGTAAATTCGAAAGCCTACAAGGTAGCTAGGACGCAGAGTCGGCCCTTATTCCCTTTTGATAGGGTTTAGGTTGCCTTATAAACCCCTTTTAACCCGAAAAGGGCACCCCTTTCCTTGTTCCTGGGCCCCTTGCGCTTATGGCAGCCAGCAAGAAGGGATCGAGCTCCCTGTCTGTAGCCCCCTTAAGCTTCAATACTTTGACTTAGCAGTAGAGTAGGTAACCTTTAACCATTTTGGGGTATGATAATCATGATAACCCCCAAAAAATCCCAACGGTTAACCTTTAATTCCCTCAGGTTTCTGGACAACTAAGCTGATGTGGTGAATTGGGCAGCAGCCACTTCCTTAGGAGAGGCGTGAACTTCATCGACACTGCGGAAATGTACCCGGTGCCCAACTTCGACCCGCAGTGGTGTCCAGGCATTGAGGATTTGGGGGCTTGCCTGTCTCACAGAACTTGTTTTTGTTGGTGGGGGGGGGGGGGGCGAAGGTTCCATAGTCTATAGTTGTCCTCTGTAAGTTTTCGTGCGCGTGTCTTCCAACCCGTTTTGGGCTTCAGGGCTGCCTCCTGTGCCCAAGATCTTCCCGCGAGGCACCACGGAGGAGTATATCGGGAATTGGCTCCACCAGAACCCAGGCATGCGCGACAAGGCCGGGGAAATTTTGGGAGGAGAGCGTGGGATGTCACAGATAAGGCTGAGACCTTTGATGTGCCTTCTTTTTTCATAAGGGAGCCGGTTCAGAAAGCATATTTTCGAAGGGTATCAAGCACAACTCAGTGAGAGGTTTTTTTGAAGCAGCCAGTTCCGAACAAATCGGGACATATGCGGCCAAGCAGGTTCAGGAAGTACAGGATATGCCCCATAAGCCTTAAACCTGAGGAAAACCAGGTTTGGGTTCCGAGTCCTTCCCGGATATCAGCTGGTGGCCATGGAAAATGCCTAGCACTGTATCTGGATCTTCTTCCTTTGTTTTTTTTCTTTGGGGGGGGATCCTAAACCCTAAATTACCCTAAGCCCGCGGGTGTGGAGGGGTAGAGCGGAGTCCCTTGTGAAGCGACTGGCACCACCAAAAGGGGGGCCTTTTTTGGATGCCTGGGACACCGGGGGGTTCCCAGAGACGGCAGCTTTGAGGCTTCGAATCTGTTGGGAGGCTAGGGGTTCAGGTTTCGGGTTTAGGGCTCCACCTCCCGTTTCAGCTCCTTTCGAGGGTTTAGGGTTTAGGCTTTAGGCTTTAGGCTTTAGGGTTTAGGGTTTAGGGTTTAGGGTTTGCGGTTTAGGGTTTAGGGTTTCAGGATGAGCCTCCAGGCTGGCAGGGAAGGAATCGTAAAAAATCCGTCGGAATATTGCGAAGAATGCTACTAGCTAGCAGAAAGAGTACTAACGACAAGATATAAACGCATTCTCCCTACCGCACTCCCTGAGGGTCCATGTACCCATATAGTATATACTTGGGCCTGAAAGGGATTCTCATATAGTAGCTTTAGGACCCACAAAACCCTACATCCTCAACCCTAAACCCTAAACCCTAAATCCTAAACCCTAGACCCTGGACCCTTGACCCTAAACCCTAAACGGGACTCAGGTCGTGCTGGCCACCAAGGTGGCCCCGGCCTCAGCCATAGCCGTGTCCCTTCAAAGACAGTTTCTTCCGAATCCCCAAAACCCTACCTAAACCTGTAGAATAATGGTCCTTTAATGGGTTTTGGGTTTGTTTACAGCTTGAACCTTCAAATCCCAGCCCATGAACCCATGAACCCCCACACATCCATGCG